CTGGTTTATAATACTGGTTTATAATATAATTTTAAACTTATATATATATATATATTTCTACTTCATTTATATAAAAAATTGAATTTATTTATTTGATTGTATAAAAGTAATAAAAAACATAAATGCAATATATTTCTATTTTATGTAGGTGTATGATATTTATGTGAAATTTCCATAATACTTTATACTAAAAGATTGAATCTATATCAAATCCATAAAATTGCGTATAGAAAGAGAAATAAATTTGTTTCTTTCCTTTTTTTTTTTTTTTTTTTATATATGATACAAGAGAGAAATTTATATCTTCCTTTATCCTTTTTTTTTTTCTTCTTTTTTTCTTTTCCTTTTTTATTACAGAAGTGGAAACCGAAATCGTGAAAGCGAAACGTACGACTCGCGAACGTCCGATAAGTTTCTCCAAAATGGATGATATAAAGAATCGATGGGAGAGCACCAGTCAGCAAGGAAGACGTGAAGTTCAACGTGAAGCAAGGAAAGAGGAGATTGCTGGAATACGTTCGAGACTTTTTATGGTAATTATATTAATAAAATATTTATTCATTATTATTAATTTTTTTCTCTTTAATTATCAACGTTATTCATAACTAAAAGTAGTAGGTATGATATGAAAAAAAAAAAAGAAAAGAAAAAAAATCACCCAAAAATTAAATTTGCTTCATTAAAAAATATTTTTCAAGACTGTCATCTATTTTTATTTATTTATTTTTTGCTTTCTTTTTATATATATATATATATATTTTTTTTTTTTTCCCTATATAAAATGAAATAATTGTACAAAAAGGATCAAAAAAGAAAAATCGGAAAGATCATGCGAAGGCATTGTTATTAAAATTATTTTTAAGTTTGTTTAAATGAATTTTTTTTTATATATATATATGTATATAAACATTTAACTTCTCTTTCTTTGTTTTGTCTTCTACTTCTTTTTGTAAAATTACATAAAAATATATGAGAATGTATGTTCTTTATAAAAAAAAAGAAAAAAAAAAAAATGAAGGAAATTTTTCATTTCTAATTAACATACGTTTAGATTCTAATTAGATCATAATAATTTTTTTCTTTTTTTGACAACGTATAAAATCCAATAAAAGATCTATGGATAACGCCTGACATTATTGTCGATGTAATCTTAAAAAAAAAAAAAAAAAAAAAAAAAGAGAGAGAGAGAGAACAAAAGAAAAGGAAGGATAATGATTGTGCACATTAAAAAGGGATAAGTTAACTCCATTGAATATAATTGTTTTAGGGCAAACAAGGTAAAATGAAGGAAATGTACCAGCAAGCGGTTGCCGGAAGCGAACGTGTAACGAAGATAAACGCCGCGGAAGAAATCCAACATTCGACCCACGCTCGTTCTATCAAAGAGAGATTCGAAAGAGGCGAACCTATCGCTGCGTCGGACGATGAAACCGACAGCAAACCAAAACCGGAGAAGGCCGACGAAGAGGTCATCGCTGCTGGTAAATTTTTATTTATTTATTTTTTTTTTTTTTTTTTTTTTTGTTGTGATAATTACCACGCGGATAAATATGACCCGTACAAATTAACGATGTGTACTATTTATAATGCAATTTTTTATTTTGTCTTTGTCTTATCTTTTTTTTTTTTTCTTTTTCTAATATATTTCTTCTTTCTTTCTTTCTTTCTTTCTTTCTTTCTTTCTATTTTTTTTCTTTTTTTACATTTTAGGTATAAGCCGAAAATCCCGGTCGCTTTTCTTAGAACTTGACGCTTCAGCAGCAAAAACGGGACGTCCTGTCACTCCGGTTAATCCAAAAACACCAGCTGACGCGCCAAGGCGTGCTCGTGACGTAAGTTTTTCAAATCTTTTTTTTTTTTATTTCCTTCTTTTAATTATTATTTTTATCATTTTTCTTTTTTTTTTTTTTTTGTATTATTTTTTTCTTTCTAACTCATTATTCAAGGAACACCTTCATCGAAGAAACGATGTTAATTATAATTGATATGTACGTCGTATGATAATTTTAGAAGGATTGCTCCAGAGTCAAAAAAAAAAAAAAAAAATTTCTGGACAAATCGAATTTTTGGAATATCAATTGTTAATTGGTAGTGTAAACTAACTACTAATATATATCGTAATGTAATTTACTATAATGCGAATTACATGGGGGTAATAATGAAGGATTAAATATAGGTAGATAATATGTATATAAAGTATAAATAAAGTTTATATAGATTGTAGATACGATATAGATACAATACATGTACATATACGTAGATTATGTATAGTGAGAATAGATATAGTTATATATAGATTGTATATATATATATATATATATATATATATATATATAATATAGATAGAATTTATGTAGATACATAGTATGTACATATATGTAATTTATTTAGAAAAAGTATAGATTGAGTTATATGTAAATAATATATATACAGTATGGACAAAACATACATTATAGTAAATCGCATTATGAGTATTACAATACGAAATGAAAAAAAAAAAAGAATAAAAAAAGAAGAAGAAGAACTCATATAATAGAAATTATACGGAAAATATTATAATAAATATATTCCGCAATTAAAATATTATAAAATATTATCGTATAATGAGCATTGTATACGAATGCATTGACAGTATATAAATAACGTATAAAACAAATTTAATTGCTGTTAAAATTGATCGAAGTCAAATATGTAAAAGTAAATTGTAGAAATTCCATTTATCCAGATTTTTTTTTATTGACGATTGATCGACCAATACAGAACTAATGATACAACACTTGATATCACTATATACGAAGCATTTAATTGGTAAAAAAATATTCTCGTTAATGGACGACGTCGTTTTATTGTTGTTAAAACAAGAACAAAAAAAAAGAAACAAAAAAACAAAAATAAAAAGGGGGAGGAAAAAAGAACTTAATAGATAATTTCAATTGATACGCATATGATATATCGTAATGGTCTTTCGTACATAATAAAATATGTACATAAAAAAAATATATATATATATGTATATATACATTATATATATATCGTTAATAACAATGACATTTGGACAAAAAGGCGTTCATGGTTCGTCAAGTATCGGACGACGTCGTACGCAGTTCGGACACAACCGAGGAGGTTCACGTCGAGACGTCGGATATTTCTAACAAGTTCAAATTTTTCGAGTCTTACAAGGAACCAGAGAAACAACGGAAACAATTTCGAATTACACCGCCACGTGATGGCCAAGTCAAGGTCCGCCATTATTAATAATGTCAAATAGTGTGACGAGAATGAGACCTGTTTTTCTCGTTTTACTTTGTTTTTTTTTTTTTTTTCATTTTTCCTTTCATTCTTTTTACTTTTTCTTTCTTTGGCATCTCTTCGTTAAAAGGCATAGATAACAACGCTATCGCGTTGATGTGTGTGTGTGTGTGTGTGTGTATGTGTATGTGTGTTCGTTTATTGTTGTTGTTGTTTAATTAACCAAATTTTTAAGAAAAAAAGCAGAAATTTTCTCAAACGTGAACAGCTCGCATAATAGAATCGTTTGTATCCTTTGTTTGTTGTTAATTTAATTAATCGTTCGAAGTAATGAGATTAATGAGAGGAAGAGAGAGAGAAAGAGAGAGAGAGAAATGATAATTTTGAAAGAAAAAAATTTTTTCTTTATTTTTTCTTTATTTTTTTTTTTTTTTTTTTTTTTCTACGAAATTCAATCGATCGTGCATGACGTGTTTTTTCAAATCTTCTAATCAACTAATCCATTTTTTTTTAACGTTAGAAATTTGTTAAGAGTGCAATAACATGCACGTTTCGTTCTTATGTTAATTAATACAATCTTACTGCATATATATATATATATATAGCATAATATAGTGCAATAGTGTATAATGTTATAGCATAATATGGTACAGTACTTTATAGTATTATAGCATGATATAGTACAGTATTGTATATTATTATAGCACTATATAATACTCTAGTACTCTATAGTATTATAGCATAGTATATTACAATACTGTATAGTGTTATAGCATGATATAATACTGTACTCTATAGTGTTTTTTAGTATAAATGTAATATAATACTATATAGTATTGTAGCATAATATACTATAATATAGTACTATATACAATATGTACAATGTATACATATATATATATATATATATATATATATATTATAAATACATACAACATATATAATATATATGTACATATGTGTATCTATATGCATATATATATTTTTCTAGTACGATATATTTGTAGTATAATATATGTATATATATTATATTAAATTTTTTGAGTATTATTTTCAAAATATATTAAAGAAAACCATATTAATAGATTCTAATCGTAACGAGGGCACATCGAATAAGACATATATATCTTTAAAATAATAAGATCGGTATTTATTGTCTCTTCTTTTTATTACCACTGATATCGTGTATGACGAGTGCCGATAAAAGAGAAGAGAAAAAAAAAAAAAGGGAAAGAAAAGAAAAGTAAGAAAGAAAGAAACCAGAAAATAAATGATTTCATCCGAATATTCTTGAAAAGAAAGAAATGATAAGAGAATTGTCAATCTATCAGGCGTTAATATAATCTATTATACTATCGTAGATTTCACGTTAAAAAATTTTCTCGCGATATTTGCAGTAACCCTTATATGTTGTATTTATTTTTTTTTTCTTTTTTTTTTTTTTTTTTTTTTTTTTTTTTTTTTTTTTTTTTTTTTTTTTTTTTTTTTTTTTCATTTTCTATGTCTTCTTTCATTACTACTACTATTACTGCTCCTCTTTGTTCTTTCTCACTTTTTTTTTTTTTTTTATTTTCTTTCTCTCTCGCGAATTCACGCAGGCGCAATAATAAACTCATCGGCCACGATAACATCGAATATTAACGTCACAGACGCACCTGAAATAATTCGATCGTAGAAAGCGAGGATACATATACTTGCATATCTTTCGAATGACTCTTTAAAAGAAAAAAAAAAAAATCATACGTGCACACGCGTGTGTGTGTGTGTATGTGTGTATATATATATGTGCTTGGACGTGTGGATGGATGTGTGTAATCTTGTCGTAAATCTCTCTTTGAGAGGACACTAAAAATAGATTTATATCGGTAAAGATCTTATCTCTTTGTGGCAATGCCTCTCTTAACGACTCCGCCGTCGTTAAATACCGAAACGATAAAAAATCACTCGCTCATACACAAATATCTAATATCTTGACTTTTGTCCTTCTCTATATTACAATTTTATGTCAGATTTTCGTTGGCATTTAAATCCGCGTATCGACATTAGATATATCCATTTACGTATGAACGAAGATTAGGGTGATTTTTTTTTTCCTTTTTTTTCATTGATAAAACAAATATACATACATCTATATATATATATATATATATATATATATTTTCTACTGTCAGTCTATCTTTTACTCTCTCTTTCTCTCTTTCTCTCGTTACTATCTTAAGCCAGCTTACTTAAGCTAATTCCTTTTAGTAATGTCATTCTTTTATTTTTATCATTTTAAACTTTCTCTTTTTTCTCTTTCACTCTCGCGCAAAAATCCATCCACCTACACACACACACACACACACACACACACACACACACACACACATACACACACACACATATATATATACAGAAAAACAAAACTTTGTTTCTAATGGTTTATTATATCATCATATAAATTCTTTACTTTATATACACTATATATCATTTTGTTTATACTCTCACGCTATTGTTTAATCATGTTTAACCATCCTTCTCGCTCTTATCTACATGAGTTTCTCTCTCTCTCTCTCTCTCTATCTCTCTCTCTCTCTCTCTCTCTTTCTCCCTCTTTTCATGATCTTATTTAGTACTGTCTATCTCTCTTCTAAATATCTGTTTTTCTCTCTTTCTCTCAACATTGCTAATGGACATATAAATAAGATCTATCTCTCTTTCTGTCCATCAGTCTTTCCTCCTCAATCTTTTTGTTTGTTTGCCTATCTTTCTCTTTCTCTCTCTCTTTCTCTTTCTCTCTTTGTCTCTCCCTTCCCCCGATAACTTTCTTTTTCTTTCTTCTCGTTGTACATCATAATCACCGTATCATTAACTTAAAGAAGCAAGCGCGTTTAAATGTATTTCAAATTAAGGCCAGTCCCTATCTCCCTATCAGTCTCAGTCTCTCTCTCTCTCTCTCTCTCTCCTTCTCTCCCCCTCTCTCACTCTCTCTCTCTCTCTCTCTTTCTCTGTCTTGAGTAACGATACCATTGAGAGAGACAGAAACAGAGAGACAGGCAGAGAGAGAGAGAGAGAGAGAGAGAAAGAGAGAGAGAGAGAGAGAGAGAGAGAGAAAGAGAGAGAGAGAGAGAGAGAGAGAATGAAACGTGCAAGATCATGGCAAGTTGGTGTTGAACGTATGAAAAAGGATTTAAAGAAAAAAAGAAAGAGAAATAAAAAAAATAAATAAAAAGAAGAAGAAGAAAGAAAAAGAAAGTCAAAGAGGAAAGAAAAAAAAAAGAAAGAAAGAAGAATGGTGGCACATCGTTAATCTCTTGCAAAACTCTCTTGAGTCAGCAATAAGAGAAAGAAAGATAGAAAGTCTGTGAGAGATAGAGAGAGAGAGAGAGAGAGAGACACATAGACAGAGAGGATCTAAGAGAAAGAGAGACAAACAGCGTGTGTGTTGTATGAGAGGAAGAGAGAGAAAGAGAGAGAGAGATGAAGAGAGAGAAAGAGAGAGAGAGAGATGAAGAGAGAGAAAGAGAGAGAGAGAGAAGTCCGCTTCGCACGGTCGAGTATGGTCGACATTGGGAGAAAAAAATAAAAAAAAATAAAAAGGGAAGAAGATAGACACAGAGGAGTAGAGAGAAAGAGATGGATAGATATATATATATATATATAGAGAGAGAGAGAGAGAAAGAGAGAGAGAAAGAGAGGGAGAGAGAGAGAGAGAGAGACGGACATCCGTTTCTCGCGGCGGGATTCCATGGACTCCATCGAACGGATGCCGCGGCGCGTTTCGTATTTCGCGCGCGTTACAGAATAAAAAAAAAGGAAAGATAGGAAAAAAGAAAGAAAGAAAGAAAGAAAAAAGAAGAAGACGAAGAAGAAAAAAAGAAAAAAAAGAAAGAACAGTAACGACGCAAGTTCCGCGAGGCTTATATTCGCGGTGTGAGATAAACGAACTGAACTGTTCGCGGTCGTCGAAGTGAATCGCAAAGAGAAAAAGAGATCCGAAACGAAATTCCGCTTATCGCGAATTCTTCCAATTTTTATTTCGTCGTACTAGTGTGTCTGATTTTCTTTTCTTTATCCTTCTTTTCTCACTTTTTCTTTTTTTCTTTTTATTTATCATTTCTTTTTTTTTTTTTTTTTTTTTTTTTTTTTAATTTACTTTTTACTTTTCTTCTCTGTCGATTTTTGATTTTTCTTTTTCTTTTTTTTTTTTTTTCCTTTTTTTTTCTTTTCTTTTTATACTTCTTCGTTGAAATTTTAACAACATTAATTATACTCCGTTACCATTCATTTATCCTATGGAAATAATTATTAAATGGTCTTTTAGGATTTCGCAAAATTGTCTTGTATCTTTTTGAGTGGGTGGGGGATAATTAAAATCAGAAAATATATATACATATATATATATATATATATATATATATATGACGATCATATACATATATTATGAAAATCGTCTTCAATTCACTTCATATGCTATATTTATAATAAAATAAAAAAAAGAAAACTATAATACATACATACATACATAGGACCTTAGCCCTTTAATCTACAAAAAGAAAACCATCGTAAGAATACTTCTTTTCGTCCTAGGGTATTTCTGATATTTATTTTAATCGTCATGTTTAGAAATTACAATTCACAATTTTTAAGTATTCTCCTCCTCTCTTTCTCTCTCTCTCTCTCTCTCCATCCTTCCTTTCTTCCCCCTTCTCTCTCACACTCTTTCCTCCCTCCTTCCTTCTCTCTCTTTCTCTATCTCTCTCTCTTTCTCTCTCTCTCTCTCTCTCTCTCTCTCTCTCTCTCTCTCTCTCTCTCTCTCTCTCTCTCTCTCTCTCTCTCTCTCTCTCTCTCTCTCTCTCTCTCTCTCTCTCTCTCTCTGTTATTCTCACGTCACCGAGCAGACATTTCTCATGTAGTACGTACTCCCATTTCTCCGGGATGTTCAAAGGAAATTGTTGGATACAAGCAGAGGCAAGCAGGCAAGCAAGCAGACAGACAAGTAACCAACCAAC